GGGAAAATGGGAAGTGTATGGATAATGGAGAGTGAGGTTGAGTAAGTAGGGTAGCGTTGGTGGCATGAAGGCCGAACGGCGGAGGTCGGAGTGAAATGGGGGGCCTGATGTCACCATTGGTAACGCGAGGTCGTTGGCCGGAGCCGAGGTAAAATTGGTGGCACAGTTGCTGTGGCCGGAGCCGAGATGAAATTGGTGGCACGCGGTCATTGCGGCCGTAGCCGATATGAAATAGATGACGCGTAGTTGCTGTGGCCGTAGCCGAGATCAAATAGGTGACGCGTAGTCACTGTGGCCGTAGCCGAGATCAAATAGGTGACGCGTAGTCACAGTGGCCGTAGTCGTAGCCGTGATGAAATAGGTGACATGTAGTCACAGTGGCCGAAGCCGAGATAAAATATGTGACACGTAGTCACGTGGTCGTAGCCGAGATAAAATAGGTGACGCGTAGTCACAGTGGCCGTAGCCGTGATGAAATAGGTGACACGTAGTCACAGTGGCCGAAGCCGTGATAAAATAGGTGACATGTAGTCACAGTGGCCGTAGCCGAGATAAAATAGGTGACACGTAGTCACAGTGGCCGAAGCCGAGATAAAATAGGGACTTGACATTTTTCGTGTAAATACACGTTAAGGGGTTTACAATGGGCCTAAAATGGGCCTATTTATGCAATACGTTGGTTATTGCAGCAGAGGTCAGCTGTCATGGAAAAACGTGCAGTAATAAATATCGTCTGTGAAAAGTAACCGTCACATTCGAAGGGACGCGGCGTTAAACTAAACGGCGAATCTGAAGGGGCACAGTCGTGATGGTTTAAGAAAGGCAACTGTGACCGTCAAAGTACGTTTTGCCGTCGTGTATATATATGTGGAGTTAGAAAAATTCAACCCATTTTGTTGTTTAGCTTTTGGAAAAGTCACCGGTGTACCTGCACTCAATCGCTGTTCGTCCGTTTTCGCAGAGACCAGGTAATTTGCGAGCATCCGAGTGTCTTTTTCTACCTTTCTTTGCTGTGAGAATGTCTTCTGAAGAGACGCTTAGTGACGGTAGAGTGAGGGGAAGGGTTGAGGAGGCAGAGAGTAGGGATTTGGGGGTGCCGTCGAACATTTTGGAGAGAGAGGATGAAAGAGAGCCGTGTTTCAACCCTGAGGAGGAAGTTGTTGGTGAGGTGGCAGGGTATGAAACAAGTTTGGAGAATAGGGGTAGTTTGGCCCATCTGGTTGAGAACTATGGGGTGCCCGGGCGTGTGTTGGTGAGGTCGGCGGGGAGTAGGGAGAGGGCGTGTTCGGCCCCGAGGGACCACTGGATGCCTCTCTACTCCCATTACCTGGCGGCTGGGTTGCGGTTCCCTCTCCCAGACCTGTTGGTGTGGTTGTTGTTGGAGTATGGTCTGGGGCTAACGCAACTCACCCCTAATGCCGTGAGGTTAGTGGTGGCGTTTGCAGTGTATAGTCGAAGTCGGGGGGTAAGTTTTCCTACTGCCAACGTATTCAAGTACTTTTACGTCTTGAATGCTGGGAGTGGTAGGGAGAAGGGGTGGTACTACTTTACGGGCCGGGTAGCGAATAAGCAGAGGAGGGGTCTGTTTAGCGCCGGGCCGTCTTCCATTAAAGGGTGGAAAGACAAGTTCTTTTTTGCGGATGACACGGAGTGGGATAAGACTGATGCCGAGGTGGAACACTTGAGTCGTTGGAAGGCGAAAGGGTTAAACCTCAATGAGTATAGTCTGACCCCGGGGGAGTTGGAGGATGTGGGGGAGTTGGAAAGAAGGGGTGTGGGTTTACTGGATGTCATGGAGTATACGAGCCAGAGGATGTTAGACGCGGCTGAGATATATGGGCCGAGCTCGCCGAGGGGAGGTGTGTAACTTTAATTGTCGGTTTAGTTCAAGAATTCTGATCAGAGTTTAACCTTGTTTTGTTTTGCAGAAGAGATGAACAAATTTTTGGATGCAGCGGGTGGAGCTGGAATTCCAAAGAAGGGAAGAGGGAAGAGAGGCGAGGTTAGGAGGCGGGCGGAGGAGGTTTCACTGCCCCAAGCCGAAATGGAGAACTTGGCCATCACTCAGCCTGGCCATGCTGGGGGGGAAGTGACGGTGGCTGAGGAGGGGCCCATTGTGGTGAAGAGGAGGAGGCTGGAGCAACAAGAGGCCGTGGTGGAGGTAGAGGAGGTATCAGCGCCCGCGACTTCAACTCTTCGCCTGGAAGGGACCTCGTCAGCCTCAGCTGCTGAGTTTGCTGCTACGCTCCGGGAGCACGGGTACATCCGAGTGCAGACGACTAGTTTTTATGACTCCGGGATGAGGAGCACAGCGAAGAGGTTCATCAACACTTATTTCCCGGAGGTGGACCGTCAACGTGCGAGGGACGAGGTTGCTGCTAGGGGTTCAGTTGGCGTTGTCCGTCAGACGCTGGAGGTATGGTCCTTCATCTCGTTTGGAGTGTAAGGGTTCTAATCTTGTTAAGTGTTTGACGAGTTGGGGTGGTTCCACTGTGCAGGCTGTTAATCTCGTGAATGCTTTGGCCAATGAGCATCACGAGAGTCTGAAGGAGAGGAACCAGATGAGGAAGGATAACGCCGAGCTCGTCAAGAAGAACGAGGCGGCCGAGGCCGAGGTGGCGAAGCTGAGAGCTGAGATGGAGGAGCTCCGAAAAGAAAATGCCACCTTCAAAAAGGACTCGGAGATCTCGTATCAGAAGAGGAAGATATGCGAGGCCGAGCTCGATAAAAAGGAGAAGGAGCTGGAGGATGCAGGGAGGACAGTGGCTGAGTTGGAGCTCAAGGTTCACAACTCAGTCGAAGAGCACGTGGAGGGGTTCCTGAGGTCCAGCACCTTCGAGGACATCGTCAACCTCTACCGTCTTCCCACTGCCATCGTGGCCTTCTCTGACTGCCGGAAGAAGGTAAAGCTGCAATATCCTGCTGTGGATGTGACGAAGATTACCTTCTGAGAGCAGGAAGGGGAGGTGGAGGAGGACGGAGAGAGCAGCACTGCTGACTTCCGCCCAGAGGTAACGCTGAAGTGGGAGAAGGATAGCAGAGGTCAAACCGTCTTACCTCCCAAGTTCAGCTTTGAATTCGTGGCAGTGGAGGAAGAGGGGATTGAAGGTGGCGGAGTTACCGAAGGTGCTGAGAAGTCAGCTGAAGGTGCGGACCAGCCAAGTCAGCCTGCTGAGAACCCCGAGCAGTTTGCGGCCAACTCGGATCAAACTGCTGGCTAAATTTGACCTCGGTTTTTTTTTTTTTTTTGAGAGATATTCTTTGTAACCGATTGGAAATTAATGGAATGGGTTTGATTCGTTTTATTGCGTTTGTGATCCAAAATAAGAGTTAAAGTGACATTGTTAATACAATTAAGTTTGAAGAAGTGTAATTGATTTCGTCCTTAATTGACGTTGTCTTCCATTGTACTGGAAAGTTATTTACAAAAAGATGGCTAACATAGAATGAAGAAAGGGACCTTCAAGGATGGAATTTTTTAAGATTGTTGACGTTCCAAACTCTAGGCACCCTTTTGCCCTAGGCATCTTGGAGAATGTATGCTCCGGGGTGCGGGACCTCGGTTACAATGTAAGGTCCTTCCCAGTTTGGTGCTAGCTTGCTATATCGGGTCTCGAACCCTGTGAGCCCAGCTTTTCTGAGGACGAGGTCACCGACTCTGAAGTTTCGAGGTTGGACTTGTTTATTGTAAAGGTTGGCTGTTCTTTGTTTGTATGTTAGAGTCCGAAGTCGGGATTGCTCTCGGACTTCGTCTAGGAAATCAAGGTTTTCCCTTAGTAGGCGCTCATTTTGAACTGGTTCAAAGTGGCTAACCCTTAGGCTTGGGACACCAATTTCGACGGGAATGACTGCCTCGGTGCCGAAGGCTAAGTGGTAGGGCGTTTCGCCTATTTGCAGGAAACTATAATTTTAGGATTTACCTTGAAGGGTAGTTTGTGACTGTGAATGAAGTAATTGAAAGAAAGAACTAAAGTGAAGGGCATACCTGTGTCAGTTCGGTTTGTTGTCCGGTAGGCCCATAGGACATTGTTGAGTTCATCTACCCATTTCGCTTTCAGCTGATCTAACCTCGGCTTGATTCCTTCCAAGATGGCTTTGTTAACTGATTCAACCATTCCGTTGGCTTCGGGATGATAGACGGAAGTGAATACCAACTTAATCCCGTAGCTGGAGCAGAAGTCCCTGAAGGAATTGCAATTGAACTGGGGGCCGTTATCAGCGATAATCTGGTTTGGTATCCCATACCTGCAGATGACTGAGCTGAAGAGGAAATCCTCGATTCTTCTCGAAGTCAAGCAAGATAGAGGTTTGGCTTCTACCCATTTGGTGAAGTAATCGACAGCAACTACTAAATGCGTTGCTCCTCCTACTGCTTTGATAAAGGGGCCCAGAAGATCTACTCCCCATTGAGCAAAGGGCCATGGTGCAGTCATGCTAGTGAGTTCTTCGGCTAGCTTATGGGTGAGATGAGCGAAGAACTGGCATTTTTGGCACCTCTGCACGAACTTCTTTGCGTCTTCTTGCATGTTAGGCCAATAGTACCCTTGCCGAAGTACCTTATGTGCCAGAGTCCGGGCTCCCACGTGACTACCGCATACCCCCTCGTGCACTTCTCTTAGTGCATACTCTGCTTCATATGGTGTCAGGCATCTGAGGAGTGGTAACGAGTAGGACCTCTTGTACAGAATGTCGCCAACCAGGGTGTACCGAGAGGCTTTTCTTCGTAACTTCATCTCTTCCTGCTTGTCCTTCGGGATGGTACCATTGAGGAGGTACTCCCGGATGGGGTCTGTCCAACTCGGAGCATCTGGGTCAGTGCTGATCTCCATCACCCCCGACGTCTGGAAGCTTGGTTCATTCAGTATCTCGATGTATACAGATTTTGCTTCCCCGGAGTTCTCATATGCTAATTTTGACAAAGAATCTGCATGCTCATTTTCTGCTCTCGGAATTTTTATAAGCTGGAATTTTTCGAAACGGTTTTTCAGCTCGGAGACTGCGGCCACATATTTCGCCAGGATGGGATCAATGACTTCGCACATAGAATTGATTTGGTTAACTACCAGCTGTGAGTCACTGTAAATCTGCAGGCGTTTGACTTTGAGCTCGGCCACCAGACGTAATCCCAGGAGGAGGGCTTCGTACTCGGCCACGTTGTTTGTGGCCTGGAAGTTGAACTTCAAAGCGTGTTCACTCCTAAAGCTGTCAGGTCCAGTTTATACTGCTCCAGCTCCTGAACCCTTGTTATTAGATGATCCATCGACATATACAGGGTCCACGTTTCTGCCTCAGAATTTGGTTCCACCTGATTAGAAGTGCATTCGACCACGAAATCTGCCAAAGCTTGAGCTCGGATTGCCGACCTCTGCTGGAATGCTATCTGAAACTCTCCCAGCTCTATTGCCCATTTGATGAGTCTCCCGGAGCATTCTGGTTTCTGCAAAATTTGTCTTAAAGGCTGATCAGTCATCACAATAATAGGGTGGGATTGGAAATATGGCCTCAACTTTTTTGCAGTAATAACAACTGCTAGGGCTGCCTTTTTTGCTATTGAGTACCTCTGCTCAGCTCCCTGCAGCACCTTACTGGCATAGTATACTGGTTGCTATTGTTTCCCCATTTCCCTAACCAAGACAGAATTGACAGCAATATCAGATATTCCAAGGTAGAGATAAAGGATTTCACCTTCCTGAGCCTTAGTCAGCAGAGGCGGCGAGCTGAGGTAGGCTTTGAGCTCGTCAAAAGCCACCTGGCACTCCGTCGTCCAGTTGAACTTCTGGGGTTTTCCCGTTTCATCCTTCTGAGCTGCAGTTCTCAAGACCTTAAAGAAAGGTAGGCACTTATCTGCTGATTTGGAGATAAATCTGTGCAGTGCTGCTACTCTCCCTGCCAGGCGTTGCACGTCCTTGGTTGACCTCGGTGGTTTCATTTCTTCTATTGCCTTTATCTTCTCAGGGTTGACCTCTATCCCCCTTCTGGAAACCATGAAACCCAGAAAGTTGCCTGATTCAACGTCGAAAGTGCACTTTGCTGGATTCAACTTCATGCTGCACCTTCTAAGGTTGTTGAACGTCTCAGCCAGGTCGGTCAAGTGGTCCTCTGCTCGAGAACTTTTGACAACAATGTCATCTACATAGACTTCGAGGTTTCTGCCAATTTGAGCCCGAAACACGATTGTGACCATTTTCTAGTATGTTGCTCCTGCATTTTTGAGCCCAAACGGCATCATCACATAGCAGTATATTTCATCTCCAGCATAAAATGAGGTTTTCACCTCGTCCTCGGGCGCCATGCGAACTTGATGATACCCCGAGTAAGCATCCAAGAGGCTTAACCTCTCATTCCCTAAGGCGGCCTCTACCAGCTTGTCTATGCTAGGCATGGGATGACAGTCTTTAGGGCAGGCGTCGTTGAGGTTGGTATAATCGATGCACATGCGCCACTTCCCGTTCGACTTTTTTACCATGACAGGGTTGGCAATCCATTCGCAGTAATCTACTCTCTTGATAAACCCTGCTTGCAAGAGCTTCTCCACTTCCTCCTTAATGGCTGTGAGTCTTTCCCCCCCGAAAAGCCGTCTCTTCTGTGCTACTGGCTTCCTCAAAGGATTGGTGCTGAGTTTGTGTACTGCCACCGAAGTTGGGATTCCGGGCGTGTCAGCCGAGGTCCATGCAAACACATCCTTGTTTGCTTTTAGGAAGCCCACGAGTTCTTCTTTTTCTATGGGAGTCAGCTTCGTGCCGATCTGAGTCTTCTTGGATGGGTCATTATCATCAAGTTGTACCTCTTCGACCTCCTCGACCGGGGTGGCTCTTGGGTCATCTTCTGGTCTGTTATCTGGCAGCTCTACACCCATTACCTGTTGGGTATTCGGGGCCTCTGAGTGGGGTAACTCTAGTGATGGGACTATCTCCTTATTTCTTCGTGACCTCGTGACGGAGGTCATGTAACAATGCCTGGCCGCCTCTTGGTTGCCTCGTAGGGTTGCTACCCCCATTGGGGTAGGGAATTTCATGCAGAGGTGGGGTGGGGACACTATAGCCCGAATCTCGGTCAAAGTCGGCCTCCCGATGACGAGATTGAACGATGAAGGCATCCTCACTACCAGGAATCTGACTGAGGGTGTTACGTACGTCCGTCCGGAGCCGAACGCCACGTTGAGTCGCAGCACTCCTTCCACAGGTACCGGCTGATTGTTGAACCCGTAAATGGGCCCGTCATACTTTTGTAGGAGAGCCGGGTCGAGTCCGAGGCTCTCAAAGCAATGGTAATACATTATATCTGGAGCACTGCCGGTGTCGATGAGCGCTCGCTGGACCTCGCAGTTGTTAATGATGACCGAGGTGACTAATGGGTCGTTATAGGGCGTGACAACCCCCTCGAAGTCAGCCGAAGTGAATGTTAGAGACTGATTTTTCCAATCCTCCTCGTCAATCTTTCTTTTCTGAGCTGTATTGTGGTGTTTGACCTCCCTCACGTACAGCTTCTGCTGTTTGGAGCTTGTGCCTCCTGCTTCGGGCCCACCAGTTATCATGTGAATGACTCTAGATGGGGGTGGCAGAGGTGGCGGTGCTTGTTGGTACCCTACCCCATCTCTGTTGTTTGGTGCTCGGGACCCCTGGGCTTGTCCCTGTTCTTTGACAAACTTTGGCAAATTTCTGTTCTGGATGTACTCATTCAACATCCCTTTCCGGGCTAAACTTTCCAGCTCGGACTTCAAACTGTGGCATTCTTCCGTGGTATGTCCGTGATCTTGGTGGAAGTCACAGTATCTGGTGTGGTCTCTGCTTGTTGGTAGGCTCTGTAGGGGGGTTGGTCTCCTCATCTCCATCTTATTTTTAATTTGCATGAGAATTTGCGACCTCGGAATTGTGAAGGAGGTCCATGAGGGTGGCCTAGGCCGCGTTTGTGGGGTGCTGGAGCCGTGCCTGTCTAGCTTGGGAATCGGAATTGGGCCTCGGTTCTGTGTGGGTTTGAACTTCTTCCTGCTCTGGCCTTCTTCTCTCCAGGTGGGGGTTCTAACTTCTTTGGGGGGCTGGGGTTTGGAGAGGACGTACTCCTCGGCCTTAATGAATTTGAGGGATCTCTGGTTGACTTCGTCAAAGGTGGTTGGGGTGTTCTTGATCAAGTTATCTCGAAACCGATCATGGTTGAGGCCTTGTATCACGGCAGTTACTCCCACTGCTTCATCAAAGGCATTAACCTCCAGCATGGCGTCATTGAACCTGTTCATGTAGTTCTTCAAGGATTCGCCTTCTCTTTGTGTTATGCGCATGAGCTCAGGTGTCGTCTTTTTGATCAACCTCCTACTTGAGAACTTGGTGGCAAAGGAGGTGGCCAGCTCGGCGTACGCATTAATCGAGTTCGGGCGCAAGGTGTGATATCAGGTCCGGGCATTGCCGCGCAATGTGGAAGGGAACATTTTGCACATGAGTGCGTCTGAGGCGTTTTGAGCCTGCATGATGGAGAAAAATGCATGCAAGTGGTCATCAGGGTCTTTAGTGCCATCATAGGTTTCAAACTGTGGCATCCTGAAACCGGGTGGATATGGCTCTTGGGTAATTTTAGTATTGAGGGGAGTGGGGATGGAGGTTGATATAGGTGGGGTCTGTGGTTGTGGATTTTTGTTCTCAGCTAACAGCTTTTCTAGGTTGTCTAGCCTCTTTGAGACATCTGAGGCAGCTGGTTGAGGCAGGTTTTGTGGCTGGGGTGGTATGTGAGATTGTGCTTGGGAAGCGGTTGGGGCGACACTACGGACCGGGGAGTTGGCAGGCTGTTGAACTGGTTGGGGAGCCACGGGGGGAGCTGGGTTCAATAAGTGAATAAGTGGGTCAGCGGGGTTATCTCTGGCTAACAGCTGGGCAAGTACTAGCTGGAAGACCCCGAATTGTTGTTGCATGGCATTGAGTTGAGCGGTCACAGGGTCGCTTGCTACGGCGTTGGGATATTGTGGATTGTGTTCCCCAACTCCCTCCGTCTGCTGATGTTGGGGGGCTGCAACCGGTGCATTCTGCGACACGGGGTTGACACTTGGGGGCTGGCCTCTTTCTTGGCCTTGGGGAGGACTCTCGCGCTGGGTTGCTCGTGTATGTACCATCTTAGCTTCTGGTGATGACTTTTGTTCGGTTTCCCACAGACGGCGCCAATGTAGTTGCTGAATATCCTTGAGTTCCTGCTACAAGCTGATCCTTCTCCAAATGGTCCTGCAAAATCCCGAGGTTGGTCCTTGGGGAGAAACTCCGATGCTTAAGTCAGTATATTTTCTAATCATGTTTTCCTTTTTGTTCCGCCTATTTATCGAGCCTTACCTCGTGGGCTTTGTCCATGTTGACAAGGCACCCACGTGGCTCGTCCGCATCCACGTGGCTCAGTCACCCCAATAATGGTGACATAGTGCGCCTGACGAAGTAGACGTTTTAGGTGAATGTAACGTGCCTTAACGGAGTAACTGCATTAAATGCGCATGGCGCATTCTGACGGAGCAGGTCTCTTGAGAAAAGGTGTTCTGGTAAGGAAAAATGATCAGGTGAGGGTGTGCCTATTATGGCTGCCATACACTTTCGGCGAAATGCCGAGGTGCGGTGATCTCGGAACTTAACCTTGTGTGTTTTCTAGTCTGGTATAACTGCCCTTACACTATGCTTCTCCTTTGTCGTCTTCTTCCATGGAGAAGCAAGAGCAGGAGTAGGAGCAAGAGTAGTAAAGCAAGAACAGGGAAGTGCTGGAAGAGAAAGCTTTGGTTTATGAGTTGAGGGAGAATCCCAAGAAAAGTTTCAGATTTGCAGATCCTGGGTTCTCCTTCGCACCAGATTCTGGGTTCTCCTTCACACCAGATTTTGGGTATGTTGTTCTAGGTCGAGAGTGAGATTGAGTTGAGAAATCCAACTCGTAAACGATCAAGGAGGAATCAAAAACCGATTACCTCGGAGGGTGGAAACCAGAATCTGGAAAGGGAAGAAAAGTCGAAAGAGATGGAGAAGGAGAAGAAATGTTGGGGAAGAGTGAAGAGGAAGGGGAGAATAAGGAAGAAGAAGGTTAATTTTGAAAATGATTTTAATTAATTAATAATAAATGGTTTTTAT